TATATATTATTTGTACATATATATATATATATATATATATATACTTTTTTTTATATATTTTTGAAAATGACTATTCTATTGCTATCAAAATATTAAATTCCTTTTCACTGTGAAAGAATTAATAATTGAATAAATTGGAATAAATATTTTTTGGCGAAATCACTTTTTTAAAATAAAAGATAATAAATAAATTCAAGGAAAATTAAGCGATGCATAACTTGATGAAGTAGTATATGAAGAGAAATGTAATTTTAATTTAAAAATAAAAAAATAGATATGATTTTATAATTTTTAAAACACTTTCACTTCTGGGATATATACATTTCGAAAATATTAACATATTTATTTGATTCTAAGAAATTTTTACTACATTGAAAATAATTAACATCATTACAAATAATTAACATTCTTTTTTTAGTAATATTTAAATAATTTGTTCATATGACTAGAATATACTTAAATATAAATATTAAATATATTATAATTCATACATTCATAAAAATATTTTTGAGAAACATATATCCTTCTAAATTATTAAATTTCGTCTAATGAAATCTTTTATCGTCTCACAACTTATAATTACATAAACTTGACTTGAATAATGATTAAAAAAAAACCAATATCAATACGAAAATAAATTGAAAGTAAACAAAGTATTACTTCGAACAAATTTAAAATTTTAAAAATAAATTTTAAAGACTAAAATGATTGCTATTATGATCGTTTTCTTCGTTTCAAAGAAATTATATTTTCACGATTGTTGGCCGAAATGTAGAATACAAAAGAGAAAGAGGAAGAAGATAATTGAAAACCGCAGTAATGATTACAGTTAAAAAGAAAAGAAAGAAGGATAGGAACAGTTTAACAAGCTTCATTTCCAGAGGGATCCGCAGCGTCTTTTTGGTCGAGTCACGAACAAAGGAAAGGGCCTGAGATGTGGCAACAAGGGAAACCTTTCGGAAAGGATACACCATAGTGGCGATCATGGTGGCTAAGCACGATGCCTTTCGTCCTCCAAAAAACATCTGTCGGAAGACAGACCTGCATAAACGCACGTTTCGCCTCTTTCTTTGCTAACACCGGCTGGTGCCCCACGAAAAATACCATCGCTTCGTAAATGCTATTCACCGAGAAACTTGAAGCGTCTAGAAAATCCAAGCGAACCCGATATCTGATTTTTTGCGGCGAAACTTTTTAAGATTATTCTCCAGAATGATATAGATTTTTAAGAATATAATATTTTTGGATATATTTTTGTGAATTGATTCTTTTTTTTTTTTTTAATTAAATCGTGAAAGTATAGAATAAAATTAATTTAATCGCGTAATAAAAATAAGATTACTGTTTTTAATTAGAAAAAACAATAGCATATTTAGAATTATAATGCAGAAGTTACTTACATAATTTTTTAATGATCAATGTAAAGAAATCTGTATAATCATGTAAATATCTAATCTAAAAATAAATCTTAATATCTTGATGTTAATTTTAAGGTTTAAATATTTGTTTTATACAAGTTCTATTATCAGAATTAAAAAAAATTTTACATGTATTTATTCATTTAATAAGAATAGAATACTCAAAATCTCAAAACGCAGTTAGTTAAGAATAATTTACATTGTAAATAAATTTTATATGAAGATGACAATATGAATTTATTTTTTAGTAGAATTTCATTAATGCAATTATACAATACTTTATACGTATAAAATATAAAAATTAATTTTTTACAAAAAGACGATTATTGTTATCATCGTTTTCATATTTTCGGAAGATTTTTGGAAATCGAAATTTACAATAGAATTTAAAGTTTCACAAAATTTGGAATTCGATATTTAGGAATTTTTTATTTGAAAAATAAATAAATAAAGACATAAGCTTTGTAATTTTAACAAATATAATTTATTAAACATATATCTATCAAATACTCTTATTTATTCGATATAAAGTTTAAAATACTGTAGAAAAAAATTTAATTTTTTAAAACACAAATAGGACCGAATGAAAAATTTAAATCTTCATAATATTAACAAGGCCAATAATAATGTACAATGGTTAGAGTAGAAAGGAGTCTGGTGCATAAACCTGTAAGCCCTGACCTGAAGCATCGCGCACGGTCAAACCATAGATCAAGCTCTGTCTTGGTAAGTTGAAAACTTATTCTAAGACCGTGTATTCATTGAACTATACACGTTTGATGACAGACAAAGGAAAAGGACGAAATCTCACAATGGAAAATCCACATCCATTAGAATACGGAGAGGAGATCGTGCATCCTTGAATACAGAAGGTGACAACATTATTATGCATTATATGGGAAATTATTGCTTTACAATCTTGTTCATTTACGCGTGAAATTTCTAAATATCTTTACTTATCCATCATAAATATTTTTAGAATTCGAATTCTGGAAATATATATCTCTATATTTCCGTATATCTTTATATTTTTAAAATTTGATTTCAAAATTTATTTATTAGAGATGTATTATATTAAATTTATCTATTTTAAGAATATAATGTATATTTTTCAATAAATTATATAAAGTATATAATACCGTTAGAAATTTTGTTATTCTTTAAAATCTTTGAATATTTCATTCAATGAAAAATTTATTTTCAAACGAACGTTTTATTAAGCATTAAATCATATTTATTAATATTAATTTAAAAATTATTCTTAACTATTTTTTATAACAAACTTCTATATCTTCTTTTTATATAATTTTATTCTTTTAAAAATTTCATTTTCAAATTCATTATTAATATTGAGAAATTGATTAAATATTGAAATAAATAATAATATTTTATAATTGATGGTATATAATATATAATTCATTGATTTTTCATTATTATTACAAATCTCAAAAAAAAAAAAAGAAAAATACAAAATACTTAATACATTAAATGCAAAATAATGAAATAGTAAAACTAATAGTAAATAGTAAATTAAAAATTTTTTAATTTTAATTTAATTATTTAACTTTTTTGAACTTTTTTATTTAACTTTTTTTTTAAACATTTTTTTTAATTTCCAAAAATTATAAACAATTATTAAAATTTCAATTTAAGATATATAATTAATAAAAAACTTTTATCAATATTAAAAATAATTATAAAATCTTATTATATTAACAAAATCTTTAAATATACATAAATATTTATTATTTATTAAAACAAAAATTAAATACATCATTTATTAACAAAATTAGAATTACTTGAAAAATGTAATAAAAATATAATTATTTAAATTAGTTCAGCTTTTATGACTTATTAAATAACATCTCCGCTTTTAACAACTAAAATTACAATAATAATAATATTTAAATTAATAAATAACTTAAGTAATTTTATAATAAATAAATAGGATATAAATATTAAAAGAACTTTTAATAAGAAAAAATTATTTTCACAATTCAATCAACGAATATAAGAGATAAAAAATTTGTTTACTTAAAATAACATTAATACTTTCATTGTTTACATAAAATTTCTCTAAATTTCATTATTATATATTTACAGAAATTAAAAATAAAAAGCAATAATAATTTGTTTTTATTTTACAATACAATTTTTCTCAAGTGTTTCAACGTAGCATTTTTCTGATGACGATGTCATGTTTTTTATTACCTGAAACAAAAAATATAAAAAAATTATGAAAAACAAAAATTACAGTAAACAAAAATACAGAAATGATTAAAAATCATACAATTGTTATAAATTAAAAACTTTTATTTATTAATATTCTTGTCATTAACTTCTATTTACAAACATGATAAAACCGTTATAAAATATAAATATGATAATTGAAATAACAAAATATATATTTACTAAAAAACTTGAAATATTTTCTGAAAACTGCTTGTATTCGATAAATCAAATCTCAAAAAAGAAAACGGATAAAATCTTCGAGTTAATCTTATCGAAGTTTTCGTATTAAAGAAAATTTGGCATACAACAATCGTGTACAACATATAATAATATTCCAATCGTAAAAATTCAAAGAGAAAAAAATATTATTAAAACACTAAGATATTATCAAGAAAAATTTAAATATTTCGTAAAAACTATTTAATTTTCAATCGTTTATATAATTCAAATAATCCAAGAAATCGATTTGTTTGAGAAAAATTATTTTTGTGACTCGAAGAAAGAACGCAGAAGAATAAAAAATAAGTAAACACACACACACATACACACATATACTATCGAGCGATCTACAGAGGCAGTTAAAATCGGAGTACGACAGGAAGTGGTACCTCCGCTAGATTTCTTGTGGGTCAGGAGCGTGGGTAGAAGCAAGGAACTGGAGCGCCCCTTCTACAACCTGCCCCTCCTCGTTTCTACTTTCACCCTGCACCTTCTGCGTTTATCCAGCTCTGTGGAGTGCATATTACTGGAAAACATCTGCTGGGAATGTAGGCGAGCTCTGGCATTGACGATGCACGTTCCATGTCAATTAATATCGGCGATATTAGCCAGTAACGGTATATTAAATTGTATTAAATCGTTCGGTTAAATTTTCACTAACAATTTTTTACCTAACAATATTTATTAAAATAATTTTTCTAATTTTTTTTTCTTCTATCTTTTAATTACGGGAAAGGAGAAAAGTTACAAGAAATTTGTTAATTCTTATCATTGACATTATTATATCCGCATTAAACGAGTCAAAATTGATAAATTACTACTTAAGCCGATGCTATATAGCTTTCTAAGAATACAGAGATTAGATTTGAATATGGAATATTTTATATTAGGATAAATACTTTCCAACTTTTTAGTTTTTTTTAATACTCGTCGATTTAATTTGATATATTCTCGCTATTTTAACATGAATTATAGTCCTACTTAGAAGCAAATAAATGATCAATCTGATCTCTAACTTTGTTGCAAAGTGCTTTTAAATCATGTTGAACTAAATCAAATAAATGATAGCGAATATATAAGTGTTTGGAAAATAAACTTTCTATTCTAATTTTATTTCGTTTCGGCAATAGTTTCTCGAGTATATTGTCATGCCATATGCTGTTTTCATAAATAAAACGGACTTTCTTTTGATTTTTCTCAATCTTAATTCTGCTTTCCTTCATTAGATTTTCTACTTTCTATTTCAAAGCATTTTTATTATTTTCTGTTTATGTTGTTAACACAAATAAATTAGATTGGAATAGAAATTATTCTTGCAGGATATATACGAATTTAGAAAAAAAAAAAAAAATTCCAAAAAGTGAAAAATTGAAATATTTTAAAAAATTTTCATTATTTTGAAAAATAAATAAATAGAGAAGGAATTGATGTGAAATATAAATTCTAAATGTGAACGATTTAATATAACAGAATTTGATTACATAAAGATATAAAGAATCAACTGTATATATAATATATTCATAGAAATATTGAAAATTGTTTATATAAAGATTTAACAACTGTTTCCATTTTAAATTATAACGTGCTATCAGATCTGACAGTTCTTATTAGCTATAAATATGAACTACGCTTTGAGAGAAACTCTATACGAGTTTATATATCTATCATATGAAAAATAACCGATAACAGGTATTTGCCATTGATATGTTATCAAGAATGAATACAAGCATTTATAACTGAGCTTATAGAAAAATTATTTGTAATTTTGTTACATTGGTGGGAATAACTTTCCAAAATAAATAAGATAAAGTACATAAGATAAAATACTTTTCCTGTTGACAAAAAATCAGAAAATATAGAACTTAAACGCCATCTTAAGTTTAAGAAATTTATTGTTAAACTATCACGAAATTTTTGCTTAAACAAATATTTGATTATCGAATAAATAATCAAAGTCGAAATATTTCGCACAGGATAAAATGATATTCTTATTAAAAATTATCTAAATTTTATATCTTTATTTTTAATATTATTTCAAATACAAAAATTATTTAAATTCTTGAAAAATGAATATCTACTATATTATTAAACTATTATTGTAATTGATCAACGATACTTTCTGTAAATTTGATCTACATCTAGCACTGCGTATATGGTTATATATCACTTTTTATTTTAGAAACACAATGATATCTTTATCCATCTACTTTCCCCTATAATAATTATGAATAACAAGTTTGAACATTTCTTAGATTCAATGTTTAGAATA